AACCTTTCACAAAGCATTCCGTTTTTCTGAGTTCACTTGTCTTTTGCTATTCCACAAATTTCGTGCAGTAATTCGGGTTGTTGATCTACCGTACCCAAAATGGCCTTCTCATATTGGGTGTTCCGGTGACGTTCGATCACGGTACACCACTGCATAAAGCACCACAATTGGTTTTTCAATGGCAAATGCCGGTATTGCGAGCTATACTTCGAGCAAGTGGAGGCCTTAAGAGCTAACTTAGATGGGGGGTGAAGTCCTACAGCTGGCCTCAAAAATAAGAATATTGTGAGTTTTGGGGCTTGCATGGGACTTTTGGAGGTCTTACAAGCTAGCATCGAATGGATGAGGACTTAAAGCTAGCCTCAACAATGAGAAATTGAGAGCTAAAAGCGTGCCTTAGGCATTGGAGGTCTTACAAACTAGTCTCAAATGGATGAGGACTTAAAGTTTGCCTCAACAAAAGAAAAAATTATGAGCTACAGGTTCACCTTAGCCCATTGGAAGTCTTACAAGCTCTCCTCAAATGGACGAGGACTTAAAGCTTGCCTCAACAACGAAAAAATTGCGAGATATGGGTCGCCTAAGGCTATTGGAGGTCTTAGAAGTTGGCCTCAAATTGACGAGGGCTTAAAGATTGTCTCAATAATAACAAAAAATTACGAGCTAGGGCTCTCCTTCAACAATTGGAGGTCTTACAAATTGGCCTTTAATGGACGAGGGCCTAAATCTTTCTTCAAAAATTGAGAAAGTTTCCTAGAGACCCGCCTTGGGCTATTAGAGGTCTCAGAGGCTAGACTCGATGGATGAGGACTTGAAGCTTGCGTCAACAATAGCTAGAATTTACAAGTTATGGACTCTATTTGGGCTATTGGAGATCTTACAAGTTGGCCTCAAATGGAAGAGGACTTAAAGTTTTTCCCAAATATTTAGAAAGTTATGAGACTAGAAGCTTGCCTTGGGTTATTGGAGGTCTTACAACTAAGCCTCTAATGGACGAGGGCTTAAAGGTTACCTCAACAATAGTGAGAATTTTTAAGTTAAGGCTCGCCTTGGGCTATTAGCGGTCTTACAAGCTGGTCTCTAATAGACAAGGGCTTAAAGTTTGCCTAACAACAATGAGAATTTACAAGGCTAGGGGCTCACCTTGGGCTATTGAAGGTCTTACAAGCCGGCCACGAATGGAGCTTGTCCGCAATAACAAGAATTTGTGAGCTAGTGACTCACCTTGGGCTATTGTAGGTCTTATAAGCTGTCCTCGAACGGAAGATCTTAAAGCTTTCCTCAACAATAACGAGAATTTACGAGCCAGGGGCACGCCTTCAGCAATTGGAGATCTTACAAGTTGTCCTCGAATTGGGCAGGAGCCCAAAGCTTTCTTCTATAATTAAAAAGTTACAAGCTAGAAGCTCACCTTGAGTTGTAAGTTAACACTGATATGAGGCCGGTGGGCCAATAAGTTTTCATTTAATTTGCAAACGTTTACACATAAAAAAGAGCTTCCAACTCGAATTACATGCAAAACAGCATGGCCTACCGACAATATATGTTCTCTTTAGCCATTGGGGCCTGTGCATTCTCATGAGACCTTCATTTAGGCGATGGTAGATGCGAAGGATGAGTTGTTGGAATCTGGAGGCTCTCTCCCTTGTAACGGTCCCCTCTATTACCTATTCATTTTCTTGGGCCATGTTACCTATTTCTTGGCATATCATCTTGTATCCTATCAAGCGCACTGATGGATCTCACGGCTGAGGCTCTACCCGAATGTGTGTAAAAAATTGGCCTCTTCATTGTCTGGGTTAATTAGGTAACTAGCTCGAGGTGGAAGAGATTGAATATTGGCATTTTCTCTCTTGCCACAACTTGACAACTCTCCTTTCTCACCTATTTTTAAACTCAACATCACTACGATCTATTCGTAGGCCTTTCTTTTCCGAGCCTGTTCAAGAGCGACAAACCTTGAAGGTCTTTGCTCTTGCTCATAAGTGGTAGAAAGGCCCCTTTTCCCTCGTTGGACAAGTCCACAGCGGGATGAATCTCGTTGTATCCTTAAGAAACATCAACCTCTACCTCACTTTCAATGGGGCTAAGATCTTTCAATGGGGCTGAGAAGTCTCTCCTTCCTCATGCTTTGAGGACGATCAGTCTTCATTTAGTGATGAGGAGTTGCATGACAATGTTTTGATATCTTAGGTACCTTACGATGGTGGTTATGTCTACCACCTCCCAATTGAGGCGTACAATAGCCCTTCCAGTGACGAGGCCATCGGTGTTGGGCACTTTCGGCCATTGCAACTTCATTGGGTGTGGGACAGATACGATGAATAAAAATATGGATGCCGAGTTTTCTACAAGAACTTCATATTACCTTTGAAGGATAGAAAATCAAGTATTTTTAGATAGAAGAGGCTTTCAGATGCTTGACACGTGACCACATCCTGATGGTTCACTTGTCAAGTATAAATTATCAATCCATAATTGTCATAGGCCTATAGCTTCCATAGTTTGGACATATACATAAAAATTGTAATATAACAAGATGTTACTACAGAGTTGTCACATTAATGACTTTTTGCATTGTACTTTGTGTAACTTGGTTAATGCGAGGCTGGCAGCAGGTGCCCATCACCTTGGATATACACTGTAGCGGATAAGCATTGCATCACCTCGACAACAATAATGACGTTGCATGACTTTTTACTAAACTCGATACCACGTGGCCTGCCTCATAGGCAAAAACGTAACATCCACCTTTATTTAATGGAAAGGTACATGCAGGGTCGGCCCTGACTATAAGTCCCGTAGGCGATCGCCTAAAGCCCCGCTTTGACGAGGAACCCAAATTATGTAAGGTTAATTGTCTGATAGAAGAAAAACAAAAATTATAATTACAAGATTCTTTAAATTAGAATTATCATGTG